CTGTGGCCAAAGGAACACAATTTGAGGTAATCGTAATAGCAGCGAAGACCTTAATACTTCCCAAGCATTATGTTAAGTATTTTATATGCATTATCTTGTTTAATCTTACAAAACGACTCTGTGAGGTAGGTTCTATTTATTAACATCCCCATTCTAGAAACGAGAAAACTGAGGCATAAGAAGCGAGGTAAGACCACATAGCAGAAAGCGAAAAGAGCCAGAAATCAAACCCAGATGGTCTAATTCCAGAGCCCACAGTTTTAATCAGTAGATCACCCAGAAGGGTCATCTAGAATGACTCTACAGAAAAATGGATATGGGGGTGGGAGGAGAAGGTAGAGCAGAGAAGAATGATCAGAGATGAAGCTGGAAAGTTAGACTGGCATCAACATGCAAAAGTCTTATAGTAGTTTGATCTCCTTCCTATATACAACCGAGAACTTCTGATCTGTTTCCTGCTGGTTCTATCTTCATTACATTCCCAGAATCTGACCATTTCTGATCACTCATTGCTACCACTTTGGCCCGAGCCACCATCATCTCTCCTGTGATTTACTCCAATACTGTCTTAACACATCTCTGCTTTGACTCTCACTCCCCTAGAGTCTATTTTTAACAAGCAACCAAAGTCATCCTTTTAATATGTTACAGAATGTCTCTCCTCTGCAAAATCCAGTAATGGCTTCCCATTTCCCCCAGAGTAGCAAGATTCCAGCAACAGCTTTCTTGCTCTGCTTCCCTCCCCATTACCTCTGATCTTATCTAAGTTTTCACCTTACTCACTCCCCCAACACTGACGTCTACGTGCATGTCAAACATGCTCCTGCCTTAGGGCCTTGCTCTAGCTGTCACCGCTGACTGAAACATACATCCACTTGATAAATTCCTGCAACTCCTTCAAATCATGGTTCAAATGCTACTTTCTTATTGAGACCTATCTTTAATACTAACCTCTCTCCCTCATGTGCCCCTTACCTCTGCCTGCTCTCTCAATACCCCTTACTCTTATCTTTTTCTTTTTTCTATTGCATCTTATCACATTCTAACATATTAGATAGTTTATGTATTGTTTATTATGTGTTCCTCTGATAGAATATAAGCTCCTAGAGAGCAGGAATCCTTCTTTACTGATGTAGCCCAACCACCTAGAAAAGTGTCCAAGAAGGTTCTCAATGGAAACTGACAATAGGAATAAGCTGCAAAGTGACATAAAAAGGGAAAAATAGGGGCACATGGGTAGCTCAGTTTGTTGAGCATCTGCCTTCAGCTCAGGTCATGATCTCGGAGTCCTGGAATCAAGCCCTGCATCAGGCTCCCTGTTCAGCAGGAATTCTGTTTCTCCCTCTCCCTCTGTTCCTCCCCCTCCTCGTACTCTCTCTCTCAAATAAAAATCTTTTAAAAAGGGGGAGGAATAATATATACTTGTATAAAAAGATTTTAAGAGAATTAATGAATACCTAATCTAGTCATATTGTTTTAGGAGAAACTATAATTTTATTTTTCTGAATCTATTAGTTCTATAGCTATATTGAATTTCTTTAATTCACACACTTTGTTAAAATTGCAATAAACTGAAGTAACTTAGCCCCCCCAAATCTAAAGGATACTAAACATTATTTACATTGCCCAAGTTCTCTTCTATTTATCAAACCAATAAATATTTGGAATGCTGTACACTGTTACCTACTGCTGCACAACAAATAATCCCAAAACTTAGTTGCTTAAAACAATAAGATACACTTATTATCTCACAGTTTCTATAGTTCAGGAATTTAAGAGTGGCTTAATTGGAAAGTTCAGACTCACAGTCTCTCATGATACTGGAGTCAAGATGCAGGCTGGGGCTAGAGTCAACTGAAGGCTTGACTGAAGCTGAAAGCCCACCTCCAAAATGGCTCACTCAATGGCTGGTGAGCTGATGCTGGTTGTTGGAAGGAAGCCTCAGCTGCTTCCCAAGTGGACTCTCCAAAGAACCTTGAATATCTTTACATGGTGGCTGGCTCCTCCAGCGTGGGAAACCCAAGAGAGAGCAAGGTAGAAGTGGCTATGTTTTTTTATGACTTAGCCCTGTAAGTCATACATTATTACTTCCCCCATATTCCATTGTTCCTACAGACCAACCCTGAGGAAATGTGTGAGAGGATGGGCATGAATACCAAGAGGTGAGGATCAGTGGGGGCCATCTTAGAGGCTACTGCAAGTTATAACCAGTATTTGCATAATATTTTGTGTTCAGCTTTTTTTTTTCAGTTTATATGTTATTTCTATTAACGGAGCTTATACACTTCTTGTTTTAGGAACTACATGTTATTCCAATGAGATTAACTCTAAAAAATTAAAAACAGTATATGGGCGCCTGGGTGGCTCAGTTGGTTAAGCAACTGCCTTCGGCTCAGGTCATGATCCTGGAGTCCTGGGATCGAGTCCCACATCGGGCTCCCCGCTCAGCAGGGAGTCTGCTTCTCCCTCTGACCCTCTTCCCTCTCGTGCTCTCTCTCTCTCCTTCTCTCTCAAATAAAATCTTTAAAAAAAATTAAATAAAAAATTAAAAACAGTATATACTTTTAATTTCTCTGAAAATATCCTATCCCACCACTTGATGCTTTCCATTTTTTTTCTATTATAGTCCTGATATTGTTTTATAGATTTTTTAAAAATTTTTATTTATTTATTTGACAGAGAGAGACACAGCAAGAGAAGGAATACAAACAGGGGGGAGTGGGAGAGGGAGAAGCAGGCTTCCCGCTGAGCAGGAAGCCTGATGTGGGGGCTTGATCCCAGGACCCTGGGATCATGACCTGAGCAGAAGGCAAACACTTAACGACTGAGCCACCCAGGTGCCCTCCTGATATTTTGTAAAAAGATTTTCTTTCTTTATTTATTTGAGAGCGAGCAAGTGAACATGAGTGTGGGGGAGGCGCAGAGGGAGAGAATCTTAAGCAGACTCCACTCTGAGTGTAAAGCCTGATGTGGGGCTTGATCTCATGACCCTGAGATCCTGACCTGAGCCACAACCCAGAGCCAGATGTTTAACCAACTGAGCCACCCAGGCACCCTGAGTCCTAATATTTTATTTAGGGAGAAGCATTAAAGTCAGAAAAACTATAACTCATACAATATCCTGCTTATTCCTAAGGGTGAAAGGAATGTAAATACTTCAAAAAAGTCAGATATATTTAGGAAAGAGTAGGGAGAAAATAAACAAGTCATTATATTTGTTATGATTATAAGCATCCATTAATAACTGAATAGTAAACCTAACAGTGAAATGAAATGCTAAATCAAGGAAGGTATAGAGTGAAAATATTTATATTAACAGAATAGCAACTTTCTTCATGCTATATACAGAAAGAAAATGTCCAATCAGACAACAGTAGCATTAATACTTAGGTACCAAAGAGATATCTGGTAGAAAGGGAGAAGACTGACAACTGGCACAGATATGAAAACCACTGAAAAACTCTGTAACAAGCATTTTTCAAGCATCAAAATAGTTATCAAATAGTCAACTTGTTTTAGAACGCTGCCAAAGAGCTGTAATAAGACTTATAAGCATGGAAACTATAAGGGGAGAGATTGAATGGGAAGAACTTCCCAACAGTAGCAGTTGTTGTGCTGGTGGGGAGGAGAGGATTCTTGCCCCAAGGGCCCAGCTCAAGTCTGACTATGTTGTCCCAGGTGGATTCACAAATCAGAAGACTGGTTGAATGAGATCTCTTTTAAGGTCTCTCCAACCCTAAGATCAAACACTCCCAATAAAGGAATTAGAATTGATACATTGGTAGTTACCAACAAATATAAAATCTTCCCGATAAACAGATCACTTCTCTCTGTACTTTATTCCATTTTAATCAAAACATCATTAGACAAGTGTCAAAAAGGCCGATTCTATACAATGAAACCATCTGGGTGTTATACCAAAATGAGATCAGGCAGTGCCTGACTTCATTCTTCATTGTTTCAGGCTTGACTTAGCTACAGTACCCACTGCCTGGGGAAAGTTGCTGCTCTTGCTGCCCCTCTCTTCACAAGGCACAAGGCCTTTTCCTACCCATTCATTAAGAGTGAAAAACCTTTAGACAGGAAGCTACTACCAGTCAGGAGAGGGTTAATATTGCCCCGGTGAGCAAATATAATAAAAACCTAAGGTGATAAACTATTTCTGCCTTCAAACCCATATCCATTGTGAGAGGCATTTATGTGCAGAAGAGTAATTACAAGGATCAGTGCGCTTTGTCACTGTTTACACTGGAATTTGTGGGAAGAGAAGTAAAAACCTATTTTCCCTTTCTTGATATCAAATGAAAAGTATCTACTGCTTCAAATGTTATATCAAAATAACAAAATGAGAAAGACTGAAATATACAATGATACCTATATCATTAGGTATATTTTATATATACCTAATATATACCTATATTCCTATATTTATATCTATATAAAGGAATAGGGCTGCCACATAAGTACATTTCTTCAAATGTGTCTAAGATGCTTCCCCTTTAAATAATGTAACATTTTTATTTTAACAATGTTGGCTACAAACATTTCTAAAGTGACTTATGATTCAGGGTCATGATTATGATCATCAGTTATATTTTTCTGCAAACCTGGGATGCCTCTAGAGGCTACAGTTCTATAGGACTGTTTGCCTGTCTGCCATCAAATGGTCCCAGATTGCTATGCTTTTTGAGCTAGTTTTCCCTGACACCATGCTGTGTATCACTGATGAGTGTTGTTATATACAGAATTCCTTCAATAAGCTGCCATCACGTAATTTTTTTAAATCTTTAAAATCAATGGGATGTAAATCAGAAAGCCATAATTATTAGATTTTTATGTCAACTCATGCAAACGAGAGGCTTTCCAAAAGAATAAGGGTTGTAGACCTTGTGACAGGTCTTTTAGTGGCTCAGAGATTGAGCTCTCAGGAATAAGAAAGCAGAATGTGCAGAAATCTGACCTATGCAAAGGTGGGGTATTATTTTATATTGGCTACTTACCAATATTTTCTTTTTCTTCTGGGCATTCCCCTTTGTTTCCTTCAACTAATGTACCATTTTTTCAACCTATAGAAGATGGACATGGATAATCATAAGAGCAAAGTTCTCTCTTGTCAGTAAGCTAATTTTAGAGGTAGTAATCTTTTTTCACATTCATTTCTAATCTGCTCAATCTTTGGAAACCAGATCACCACACTCATCTCCTGACTTGCAGTCTAGTACTCTTTGGCTCTTTCTCCTTTTCCATACTTTCTTCTCATTCAAACTACGAACATAACCACTCTTATAAAATCACTTATTTATAAAATCAGCAACAGCAAAGGGAGGCAAGTCATACTCCCTCTAAAAGCTAGTGTGTATTGTGTGTAAATGTATGGGGAGCAGTGACTAAGGAGCTAATCCATAAACAAAGTGGATAAAATCTAGTTTATGCACTTAGTGGGGTCATTTTTTTTTTTTTTTGCTGTAAAGAACTCCTATAATAAGGTGTGTGTTCCACAGTGTGATCAAGAGGGGCCATTTACTATTACATGTATGAGTGCATGGTTAAAAGACACCAAGCCAGTCCTAGTCCTAGGTACATATCCACAACAACTGAAGATAAGGACTCAAACAAATATTTCTACACCGATGTTCCTTACAGCATTATTCACAACAATCAGAGGTGGAAACAACTGACGTGTCCATCAATAGATATGCAACAAAATATGATACATATATTCAATAAATATTATTTAGCTTTTATAAAAAGGAATGAAGTTCTGGTGTGCCTAGCTGGCTCAGCTGGAAGAGCATGTGACTCCTGATCTCAGGGTCATGAGTTCAAGCCCCACACTGGAGATTGCGTGAACTGAAAAAAGAACAGAAATGAAGTTCTAACACATGCTACAATATGGATGAACCTTGAAAAACATTATGCTAAGTGAAAGAAGCTGGATACAAAAAGATATGATTCCACTTATATGAAATGTCTAGAATAGGTAAATTCATAAGACAGAAAGTAGATTAGAGGTTACCAGGGGGTAGGGAGGTAGGGGAGAATGGGGGTTATTGCTTAACAGGTCCAGAGTTTCTGTTTGAGGTGATGACAGAGTTTTGGAAATAGTGATGGTTATAAAACAGTGAATATAATTACTACTACTGAACTGTACACTTAGAATGGTTAAAGTGGCAATTTTTATGTTATATTTACCACAGTAAAACTTTTTTTAAAAAAAGCAGATGCAGTGGGGTACCTGGGTGGCTCAGTTGGTTGAGTGTCAAACTCTTGATTTCAGCTCAGGGTTGTGAGATTGAGCCCTGCATCAGGCTCCATGCTCAGCAGGGAGTCTACTTGAGATTCTTTTTCCCTCTCCCCCTACCCCCCTCCACCCCACTCGCACGCAAATAAATAAATAAATCTTAAAAAAAAAAAAAAAGGCAAGCAGATGGGGGCACCTGGCTGGCTTAGTCGGTCGAGCATGTGACTCTTGATCTCATGGTTATGAGTTCAAACCCCACATTGGACATACAGCTTACTTCAAAAAAAGAAAGAAAGAGAAGAAAGAAAAAAAAAAAAGAAAGAAAGAAAGAAAGAAAGTGTAGATGGACAAAATGTAAGATCCTAAGAGGAAAAACTTTGGCTATGATTTCAATAAAACAAAAGTTATGGCAACATTTCATCCTTTGGATATCTCACCAGTACACAGTCAATTATGATTTAAATCCTCAAGGGTAGTACTGATACTCAGAAAATATCTTTAAGCATTTGAATTTATACAGTATCTTCCATTCTCCCAGAAAGTTAAACTTACCTATGCAACATAAATCTGAAAATTATACATCCAAGAGAGGATTCAAACAAGGTTAGAAATTCTAACTACACGGCTCCCAAAGCAAACATTTTCAAGACATTTTGTTAATGAAAACTTAAACACCTCTCCCAGTATGCCCTTGGAAACCAAGGATGGAATGAGTGATATCTACCTCTAAGCATGCAATCTTGACAGTTCTATTAAGTTTTCTTTTTTTGTTGTTGTTTTTTTTATGTTCAATTAGCCAACATATAATACATCAGTTTTGATGTAGTGCTCAATTAAGTTTTCCTTTTAAAAACACTTAATATTGTGTGTATGTCAATATACTGAACTCAAAACAAAAGACACTTCAAACTGGCATCTCCAAATGCCCCCTTTCCTTGGCACCCTTGCCCCCCCCACACAGAGGCTAAATGGATTCTCTTATTTCCTGTTTATGTTAGTGGCATCACAGATTTCCTAATTCACAACTCAAAATCCTCACCATCTTTGAATTCTCCACTCTCATACCTTCTATATTCCAATCTGTTATCAAGAACTGGTGATTTTTCCTTTGTAATATCTTTCCCATCTCTTCCTCCTTCTTTCCTCCCTAGTACCCCTGTTAATATCTAAATTCTGGCCTTTATTACTTCAGACTTGGGACGGTTACAGCTTCTTAACCAGTCTTCCAATCACCAGTGTCTCTATTCTCAAATCTATACACCACTGTTTTCAACATTTTCTCACTAGATATTAACCCACAGCATGTCAGGAATTCATTTATCTTTGAACACTGTACAACCTGGCATATATGTTTAATTAATCAATGTCTGTTGAATGAATGAATACATAAATCACCTCACTCTCTTTAAAACTTTCATCAGATTGGGGCACCTGGGTGGCTCAGTTGGTTAAGGTCATGATCTCAGGGTTGTGAGATTGAGTCCCATGTACGGCTCCCCACTCAGTGGGAAGTCTGCTTGAAATTCTCTCCCTCTCCCCCCTGCTCATTCTCTCCCCCTAAAATAAATAAATCTTAAAAAAAAATAAAGGGGCACCTGGGTAGCTCAGTCGGTTGGGCATCTGTCTTCGGCTCGGGTCATGATCCTGGCATTCTGGGATCAAGCCTGCACTGGGCTTCCTTCTCAGTGGGGATTCTGCTTCTCCCTATCACTGTGCTCCTCCCCCTGCCTGTGTGCTCTCTCTGTCTCTCTTATTTGTTCTCTCTCTCTAATGAATAAATAAAATCTTTAGAAAGATAAAATAAAGTAAAACTTTCATCAATTTTCCACTGTTCATAACAGAAGGTACAAACTCAAAGACTTAAATACTTACTGGGGCCAAGCAGGAAACAGAAGTTAGTAAAGGTGTAAACCCACAGGAGGTGGTGGGGACTATGGCAAGCTAGAGAGGACATAACCCATTTGAACGGGCAGTTGCTCGCTGCTGCCACAAACTGCTGCCATGATGAACTACAGGCCCAGTATTGCCAGGTCTTCTGATTTTTTCAAGATAAGCTGAAAGCACAGATTTCTGTGTGGAATCCGGTTTTTAAACAGTGACAACTAATTCCATTTAAAAAATTTAAAAAACCCAAAAGCCACTGTGCAGGCCTGGCAAAATATATCTATGGGTCAAATGCAGCCTTCAAGTTACAAGTTGGCATCTCTGCTCTGTAAGATAAAAGACAAACTCCCTGCCTCACATTTGAAGTCCTTCACTGTGAAGTCCCAGGCTACCTTAACAAAGTTTTTTGCCCACTACTTTCATACAAGAACCCTCTCCTCTAGTCTAGCAATTCTCAAACTTTAGGATGTATCAGAACCACCTGGAGGACTTGTTAAAACATAGGTTGGTGGGCCTCACTGCCAGCATCCTGATTCAGCAGGTCTCCAGTGGGGCCTGAGAATCTCCATTTCTAGTTTGTAACAAGTTCCCAGGTGACGCTGATGGTACTGGTCCATGGACCACACTCTGGGAACTACTGCTCTAGTTAACCATCTCCTTGTCTCAAACACACACTGAATTTTGCTCACATGATTCTACCTTTCCAGAAAGTCTTCCCTCTTCCTTTCAGCCCACCTTCTGTAAACTTTCTCTATAAGAGCCTTTCATGTCCCCAAATTCCTGCAGTACTTATGCCATCTCCCCTTTATCCATCACTGCTTGGTGTTTTTTATTAACTCTTAGTACCTTGGTGCCAATGAAGTTATGTACTCTCACAGATCAATGCTCAGGTCAGTATCTCATACACCTGACTACAAGCCACTTGAAGGCTGGTACTCCTCAAGCTGTCTGTCAGGTAGCATGGTATACAGTTGGTACTCACTAAACTTTTTTTTTTAAAGATGTATTTATTTATTTTAGAGAGAGAAAGAGAACGAATGAGCAAGAGGGGGGGCAGAGGGAGAAGGAGAGAAGCAGACAGTGGGGAGCCAGATGCGGGGCTCAATCTTATGACCCTGAGATCATAGCCTGAACCAAAATCAAGTCAGACACTTAACTGACTGAGCCAGCCAGGTGCCCCCTCACTAAGCGTTTCTTAAATGAACATCTGCCAGATCCATGAAATCAAAGTGCAGATAAGTGGGACTGAAATTTGTGTGTGTAATTTTTCTTAGAGAACTTGTAGTCCTGTGTAATGGCTTTGTCAGAATAGACAACTAATAAAAATTGAATATTTTGCAAATAAATGGCCAGTAGTAATAATTATCTTATTTTGTATAAAAATAAAAGTCAGGGGCGCCTGGGTGGCTCAATCATTAAGCATCTGCCTTCGGTTCAGGTCATGATCCCCGGGTCCTGGGATTGAGCCCTACACCGGGCTCCCTGCTCAGCGGGAAGCTGCTTCTCCCTTTCCCACTCCCCCTGCTTGTGTTCCTTCTCTCTCTGTCTCTGTCTCTGTCAAATAAATAAAATCTTAAAAAAAAGAAAAAGTCAATGTTAAAAAAAAACAACAATCCTAGTTTTAAAATTGATAACAGTAAACCCTCGATCTCCAGGATTTCTCATCCCTTACAGGGATGTGACCTAGTCAGTATCACAATACGTATTTAATAGAACTCTGTATTTGTACCACGGGCAATAAAAAATAAGATGAAAGTAACTGACTCCCCATGATATTTGGAAACACGAATCAGTCCCTTCAGATACAGTTTGGGTAATACATTTATGCATGATTCTAAACGCTTTATGAAAACCAAATCAAAAGCTCTCCACCTACTCTCTTCCACCTATAGAGTTCCATCTGCTATCAGGTGATTTCAAGGATGATTTATGAGTAGAAACTTTGAGTCTCCAGGCAAAACAAGAATAAAGCCACAGATGACTTTACAGAGTAAAACCAATTTGGGAACTACTAGAAGAGAAAATTAGAATTACTATATATTTTGAAGAAAAAACACACACACACACACACCAGGAAATACTATATATTTTGATATGTAGTCCTGAGTTGTTTGGCTTTTTGAACAACTCTACACTTGATATTACAATCAATAGGACAAGAGAAAAGTCATCATTTGGTAAGGACAGAGAATCCAATTCAGAAAGAAAACACCAACAAAACCCACTCAGAAGCATATGAAGTACATTTAGAGCTTTAAGCTAGCACAGATGTTACCTTATATCAGGTTCCTGGTCCTACCTACCAGGACCATAATGATCTTGTCTGCATGAGGATTCAGCCAAGACACTCCCACATTTCTATGTTGACCGGGAACTATGCAAACTGGGGAAAAAAACAATTGTAAAGCCAAGTCAACAAAACACTTGACTGGTTTATTCCAAGTTTTAAAAGCATTAGCATTCTAGGGGCACCTGGGTGGCTCGGTCGTTAAGCGTCTGCCTTTGGCTCAGGTCATGATCCCAGGGTCTTGGGATCGAACCCGCACTGGACTCTGTGCTCCGCGGGAAGCCTGCTTCTCCCTCTCCCACTCCCCCTGCTTGTGTTCCCTCTCTTGCTGTCTCTCTCTCTCTCTGTCAAATAAATAAATTAATTAATTTAAAAAAAAAAAGCATTAGCATTCTAAAAAATAAAACAAAGCATATTTATTCAGCAAGATAATCCTGAAACTTCACAGTAAACCTACCTACCAGAAATTATGGAAGGAAATATTATCAGATGAATTCCTAAATAGCAACTTCCTACTTTACTATCTGTATCATCAGATGTTTCTTACTAACATGACTGAATAATATCCAGTTCTTTGGCAGAGAATGTGGAGGTTCAGAAGACTGCAAATTCTAGAACCACCTCTACTATAGTATAAATATGGGCATGTCTCTTAGCCATAGTCATATCACAGCAGTTTTAACTACAAAGTTATGGTAAATAAAATTGTATGATTAAAAAAACTATAAAGTATATGCAATTTAAAGTATTATGTGTATATTAAGAAACTTTCATGTTTATAAATGAGTCTATAGGTCTGTGTTCAAACAAGGAAATTCTTGAACTGACCTTCATATTAAACAATAACCAACTTTTAGAAATCCAATTTTACAGCCTGTATAGAAGATGCCCTAACCTCTCTTTTCTATAAGTTATCAATAGGGTGCACTTTCAGAACCTCAGACAAAACTTAATCCTAACTTGGGGCGCCTGGGTGGCTCAGTCGTTGAGCGTCTGCCTTCGGCTCAGGTCATGATCCCAGGGTCCTGGGATGGAGTCCCGCATCGGGCTCCCTGCTTGGCAGGAAGCCTGCTTCTCCCTCTCCCTCCCCCACTGCTTGTGTTCCCTCTCTCGCTGTCTCTCTCTGTGTCAAATAAATAGGTAAAAACTTAAAAAAAAATTAATCCTAACTTTATGGATATTATCAGAGGAAATTCCTTCAGTGTATGGTAATCCCACCATGGACCCACCAGAGTGTGACATACAAAGAGGGAAAATTTGCACCAGAAATGCAGTAAGGCACCAGAGGGAAGGGGTTCGAGGGTTCGGCAAAACAGGTGAAGGGGAATAGGAGATGCAGGCTTCTAGCTGTGTAATTGATGTGGGAAACAAAGGCAAAATAAAAAAAATTACTACTTAAAGTCCATTGACAAGTCCTTGGAACAGGCAGAGTGACATTCCTCTAGGAACTCAGCTGCCTTGATGTTAGTACTTTGGTAAGGGCAAAAGGCAACCTTAGCCGGACCCCCCGGGATCCTGTGGTCTACTTTAATATATAAAAATTCCATTGGAGGGCGTCTGGGTGGCTCAGTTGGTTAAGCAACTGCCTTCTGCTCAGGTCATGATCCTGGAGTCCCCGGATCGAGTCCCGCATCGGGCTCCCTGCTCAGCAGGGAGTCTGCTTCTCCCTCTGACCCTCCCCCCTCTCATGTGCTCTCTCTCTCTCTCTCTCTCATTCTGTCTCAAATAAATAAAATCTTTAAAAAAAAAATTCCACTGGAAACTTCCTTTATCTCTACTTCCCCACCAAGATATATGTTGGCAATCATCCCCCAAGGATATGGCCCACTGATATACATCTGAAGGGTCTCATGACTAAGGGTTTACTAGACAGTAATAAATGACCTTTTCCTAATAATAGCTAGCCCCCTCAAGCTCCTGGAAACCTTGCTTCCAAAATTCCTTAGAGACTTAAGCTATCCCTAACTCCCTCCCAACTTGAAAGTATACAATTGGCCACTCCTCACAACTCCAGGGCAGCTTTTTCTGGCCACAGGTCCTGTCCCCGGGCTTTAAGAAAACCACCTTTTTGCACCGAAGATGTCTCAAGAATTCTTTCTTGGCCGTCGGCTCTGAACCCCAACATTTCCCTATATCAGGATGAATAAATCATGGGAACAAAAGGGACTTAGGGAGTAAGTTAATGCATAGAAAATACAATGATACTGTACTAGCATTTTACATGGTAGCTACACTTGTGGTGAGCATAGCAGAACCTATAGAGAAGGTGAATCACTATGTTGTACACCTGAAACTAATATAACGCTGTGAATCAACTCAACTCAAAAAAAAGGGGGGTAAGCTAAAATCATGCTAACACACGCTGTGGCAAAAGATTTTCAGCGCTCATTAACAAATGAGCATGTTCCCTCTAGCCACAGAATTCAAAAACAGAAGCTACACAACTGGAGGGAAAAAAAAAAGGAAGGGGGCATCAGGACAAAGACCTCGAGAAATGGAGAGGGAAGATGTACAAAGTTTTTAAAGAAACATTAAATTCAGGGCCACTTGGGTGGCTCAGTCATTAAGCGTCTGCCTTGGGCTCAGGTCATGATCCTGGGATCGAGCCCCACATAGGGCTCCCTGCTCGGCGGGAGAACTGCTTCTCCCTCCCTCACTGTGTTTCTCTCTGTCAAATAAATAGAATCTTAAAAAAAAAAAAAAGAAAGAAAGAAAGAAAGCAACCTTACATTCAATTTGAAAGGTAGGATAACGCATAGCAGAGCTTCAGTCACAAGTTTCCTAGGCACTGTCTTGGCACCCTGAATTCCCGATCGTCCTCAATGACACTAACTCTCACAGAAGGAAGGCATTATTACAGAGCTCCTCCTCTGAAAACGAACACTTTTGAATACCCCTTTTCACAAATGTGCTCAGGAAAAAACAAAACAAAACAAAACACCAAAAAGGCCGAAGTTCCAACTGTATTGCAACTTGCAGAAAAAGGGGCTGCGGACGAGGCAGGTATCACTAAATGGGAATCCGGGGCCAAACATTTTGGGCGGGCAGCGTCCGACACACGGGACAGCATGGGGCCGAGCGCCTGACCCCAGAGCTCTCCTCGTGGCCCTGCCACCTTTCCCACCCCAGGTGACAACGCTTTTCTCCTCGTCGGAGCCTCTCCGACCCCAGCTGACAGGACTTTTCTCAGACGCCCGCATGCGCTCCCCAAACGAGGCAGCCTGCCTCACTCCCAACCACCGCCCTCGGAGAAGTCCTCCGCGGCCTCATCAAAAAGTATTTAGCCTGGCAATTCCCTTGAATGCTTCATCCCTCACAGAATTAGCCAGAGTTAGAAGCTAGGAGAGGGAGAAGGAAACCAAAAGAGTCAGGGCAGCTTCGGGAGAGGACGAGACGGAGCAGGGCGGCCTCGGCCACGTTGGCTGCGGCGTGAGGCCAGGGGGTGGACGCGATGGCAAGGCGGGGTGGGTGGGAAACGCTGCAAAGCCGGCGCGGAGGGGCGCACCGACGCCCGCGGCGGGGCGGCCGGAACCCCAGCGAAGCAAGCCTCCTGAGGCTAGGGCGCACCGACCGTCGCGCCGCCGGAAATGCCTGGCCTGCAGAACGCCGCGCCGCCGCCCCGTGTGGGCCCGCTTCGAACCCGCGGCCGCCAACCTCCCCGGCCGCGTCCCCGCTGCCCGCACACTCACCGCGCGCGCGCCGCCCCGGCGCGGCCGCCCGCCGCCCTCCGCCCTGGGCGCGATCTCTGCCCCGCCCCCGTGCCCGGCCCGCGGACCGGGCCCCTTGCGGCGGTGGCGTCGGGGCTACGTCACCGGCGCGTGCGCTCTCCGGCGCACGGGCAACGGCTGGGAGGGAACGTTACCCGCTAGGCGTGCTGGTTTCCTTAGAAACGGAGCCGGTCGGGGGAGGCGGTGGAGAAACGTCCACTACAGTGGGGCCCCTGGTGAAGCCAGGATGCCGTCTAAGGGAAAGGACAAAAAGAAAGGCAAGAGTAAAGGCAAAGACAAAGACAAGAAGTAAGGAGAAGCCACGCTGTCCCTGGGCCTATCCTCCGGGGATTCGGGGCTGGGAACAGGCGGGACGCTGGGGCTGGCCGGCTGGATAACTGCCCTCCTCTTGCTCTCCTGGCTTCTGAAAAGGACACCTCATTGTTCAGAAATTCCCAAAATGTATGCGAACCGTACTGCTCCAACCTAAACAACGGAGCGTGAGGTTTGGGACCCTGAAGAGTTTAGACACAGCCCCTGCCTATGTGTAATGCATTAACGATGGAGGCAGATAATTTCCCGAAGAATAAAATACAGGACCAAATGAAATAGGGGCTAGTGAAAAAAGCAAAGAACTGGGAATGAGGAGGAAGAGTTAGTTCTGACACGAGAAGTGAAGATCAGGAAGTCAGGATAACATTTCTTGGTATACTGAAGGTCCTCTAGACCAGCGCTGTCCAATAGGGTAGTGACCAGCCATGTGTGGCTCTTAAAATGTAAAAATCAGATCTTCTGTGGTATTAGCCACATTTCATATGCTCAATAGGCACATGTGGCTACTGGTGACTGTATGGGACAGCCTAGGTATAGTACATTAACATCACCACAGAAAATTCTGTTGGACAGTAGTGCTCTAGACGGGGGCGATTTTGGCTCCCGGGGGATATTTGGCACTATCTAGAGACATTTTTGGTTCTCATCGGGGGATGTGTGCTACTGGCATCTAGTGGGTGGAGACCAAGGATACTGTTAAACATCCTGCAATGCACAGGACACCCCCCACCTGCTCTCCAAACAAAGAATTATTTGGCTCGGGGTATCAGTAGTGCCGGGGTTGGAAACCCCTGCTCAAGACTATAAGCTTCTCTTGAGTAGGCACTAAGCATTATTCACCATATCTCCAGCACCTAGCAGAGACCCTGAAACATAGTGGATGCTTATTATTTGTTAAATAAACAAATTAAGGTGTCCCTGTATGCTTCAGCTTGAATCTTCTCTTTTTTTCTACAGGAACTATTATCTAGGTTTCATTCCCCCCCCACACACACACACCCCCGAGAGAGCTCTGTGGTGTAGTTGAGAATATCTTGAACATCTAGAGAATCTCTGGGTGATTGAAGAAGTAGTTTGTTGGGCCTTTTGAAGGATTCCTTTTGGTTCAAAGGAAAACGTAAAAGATTTGAACGAATTGGGTAATTGTTCAGGTTTCCCCAAGCTGGTCAGAACCCCTAAAGTAGGCATTGCTGTAGCACTAACCCTTTGCAGGCATGGAGTTGCTGCTAGATTGCCACTAAATCTATTGGGTGACTCTAGTGGTTTGTTGGAATCATACATGGTGTCCAGCATCAATCACTATATATGGGACCAAAAGGGAATCCCCCAAACTTGTAAAGTTTATAAAGTAACTTGTTTAAGAGAGTAATACGTGCTCAGTACAGAAGGTTTAGGAAACATGGAAAGTCAAAGTAGAAAACAAAAATCACCTGTAATCCCATCATCCAAATGTAACTACTACTATCATTTGGGGATTTTCTTTTTCTTCTTCATAAAATGATAGCCCAGGGTACATATTTATTTGTAGCTCCCTCCCCCCATGTATTAATATAAGTATTCTTCTGCAGTGTGAATTTTTTCTCTTTTTTACATAATTGCATAGTTTAACACTTTTTTAAAAAGATTTATTTGAGAAGGAGAGAGAGAGAGCATGAGCAGGGTGAGGGGCAGAGGGAGAGGGAGAGAGAGAATCCTTGAGCAGACTCCCCACTGAGCGCAGAGCCCGACGCAGGGCTGAATCCCAGGACCCTGAGATGATGGCATGAGCCAAAGTGAGATCATGAGCTGAGCTGAGGTTAGACACTTAACCAGCTGAGCCACCCAGGTGCCCCAGTCTTGCACTTTTTACAAGTGCCAAGGTCTTGTCACATTCTTGGAACTCACTAGCATACGTTTTCTATTTTTGACCGTGCATCTACAGTACATTTATCAACAAGGAGGAACATTGAGGGTAACAGACCTTGTATTCCTTGGATTTTCCATGACTCATAGTTTGAGAAACGCTGCTTTGTTTTTTCAGTCAGTATTAGTGGTTGTTTTATGAGAAATCCTAGCTGCCATCAACTGTTCTGAGCAGCTTAGACCTGATACCTTCAGGGAGTAATTGGATGATTATAGCAAGGCAGCTTATCACTACTGCCTAAATCATGCTGGAAAGAAAGGTCAAAGCTATAACAGGCTAGAGGGTTGGAGGTGGGGCTAGCCTTAATTTGAAGAGAACAGAAGGGAAAGGGATGGAGAACCAGGAGTTGGTGGGGTGGAGGGTGATGGTACAGATAGATCCACACGTATCTATGTGTGAAAATATTTATAGAGTTCAAATGCAGGTAAAGTCTTACCTATTATCTAAATATGCATCCAGTGCCTACCACATATAAGGGGCATTGTTTTGTTAATCTTCATACAATAAATCTTTGTTTTCTGTTTGTTTGTTTTTAAAAGATTTTTATTTCTTTAACAGAGATAGAGAGCATAAGTAGGCAGAGCGGCAGACAGAGAGAGAGGGAGAAGCAGGCTCTCCGCCAAGCAGGGAGCCCGAGGCGGGGCTCGATCCCAGCACTCTGGGATCATGACCTGAGCCGAAGGCAGGTGCTTAACCGACTGAGCCACCCAGGCGCCCCTAAATCTTTATTTTGAAAAACTCTACTTTTATCACTTTAATCTTTGAAGCCATGCTTTATTATTATTATTTTAAATTTTTCTTTTTACTTCTGTATAAATGATTATGGTTCGTTTCTCAGCCATCCTTGAAGCCTGGTGCATTGTGGCACCAGCTAATAAAGTATTTAACATACTTGTCCTTGTGACTTGATCTTTTGTCCAAGGTCTAGCCAGAAATTCCCCCCCGCCAAACAACCTAAAACTAAACCAAAACTGGGGTTGGAGTATGTGGAAGATTACAGAATGATGGACTTACAGTTACACTACGAATGTATTATTCAGAAGGGGAACTAAGGTAATGGATTTGCAGGAGTGAGAACCAAGGTCTAAAACTGAGTGGGTAGGAATGGAAATGACAGTTCAAATATGAGAAAAGGAGGTAAATGAAAAGATGTGAAAGATTTATGAAATGATTTTGACTTATGCCTTTCCTCTTTGTTTTTCCAGTTCTTTAGAGTTATGCTCCAAAGCTCCCCTCTTCTGAGAGGAGTCGCCCACTTAACTCCCTTATCATAAATATGTATTTATTAACTCATTCATCCAGCAATATTTGCTCATATGTGCCAGGCATTGCCAACCAAAACAAATAGTAGTGAAGAGAAAGGTATAATTCTAATATAGTAGAGAAATAGTTATATGCTGTCAATGTCCTCTTCCCATGCAGGAAGATAATAAAAGCTGATGAATTTACAGTGGACAGAGCCAAGGCCAATGCCTCCCTGTGGGAGGCCAGGCTGGAAGTCACAGAACTCTCTAGGATTGAGTATCGTGATACTTCCCGGAGACTGGCAAAAAGTAATGAGGACTTAAAGAAACAGCAGTATAAAATGGAGAAAGATACAATGTCTGTATTAAGTTACCTGAAGAAGCAGGATCAGGAGAAAGATAATATGGTAGGTGGGTAGAAACCCTCCCGAGTCTCAATAACTACCTCTGTCATACTTGAAGCAGGATGTTATTGCTGAATGGCTTTACTGTTAGTATTGGCTCTTTTATTTTCAGCCCTTGTCCCATTGTTTTCTTGTCTGAAACAAAGATTGATGGTCATATGGGAACATTATGGTCCATTTTATTTTAAGAAGAGCATAGTATATGACCTGTATGTTTTTTTAAAGCTTTATTTATTTGAGGCAGGGGAGAGAGGGAGTGTTCACACAAGCAGTGGGGGAAGGGCAGAGGGATAAGGAGAGAATCTCAAGCAGACCCCCCGGTGAGTACAGAGCCCAGACAGAGGGCTCCATCTCACAACCCCAAGATCATGACCTGAGCCAAAACCAAGTGTCCTGACACGCAACTGACTGAGCCACCCAGGTGCCCCAACCTATATGTTTTTTGATATTGATAAATACTTTTAATGATTTATAAAGCAATTCACTGATAATCCATGATCACATGATTATGAACCCAGCAAGTTGAATCTCCTTTTTTTGGCTAGTTGGGTCTTGAATTTAGCTTTCTGTACCCTATTTAAGTGTTGCGAGTGAAACTATTATCTTAGATCTGGAGGAAAAAGGGAAGGGAACGAATATTTTGGAGACCATATTTTGTACCAAACACTATGTTAGGTACTTTATACCTCTCTTGTCTCATTAAGGACTTTTAAGAGCCCCATGTAGCTACAATATGTCATTCCCATTTTATAGATAATTGACCCTCAGAAAGGACAGATACTAATTTACACTATACCTGTGTGACCCAAAGTCACACAGCTAGTGGGTGTTAAATTGGAATTTAGGTGCAACTCCAAATTCTTCTCTTTCCCATCTGCCTCTATGAGCTGCATGAATATTACTTATATATTTGTTTATTGTCTCTTTTCCTGATTAGAATGAAACCTCATGGAAGTAAAGAATTTGATGGCTTTTTTAAAAAAGATGTTATTTATTTATTTGACAGAGGAAGGAGAGCACAAGCAGGGGGAGCGGGAGAGGGAGAAGCAGGCTCCCCAATGAGCAGGGACCCCTATGTAGGACTCGATCCCAGGACCCGGGTATCATGACCTGAGCCGAAAGCAGCCACTTAACCAA